TAAACAAGTGTTTTATGGCATATTTGTTTGAAGCAGCTGAACATTAAACATCCTGTCATGTGACACACACACACACCTCTGAGTGTTCCTCCTGAATGGCATCAGCTCATATCACATCCCAGCTGTTTACTCTTGCAGTCAGATGACAGTGACTGGTCTAACTGGGTGGTTTTACTGTTTGCTCTCACCTGTTACTCTGTGACACACTTTGAGCTGGATCTGATCAAACACGTTAATAAATCATCTAATTGTAACGAGAATCAGACAACAAAGACCCCTGATTGTTATAATCAATTAATTTTTCAATGCATCTCAATGTGGGCATGAATAATTCTGAATTGGTCTAAAAAAATCTCTCAAATTAATGTTAATGAGAAACAGAAAAGGCGGGGCATTCAATGCAGCATGGTTTCTGACCCGCACATAAGAAACACAACAAACAAGCTGCATCCTCTGCACTGTGAGTAATACTGGTACTTTTGTTTCTATGAAATTAAAGAGATTTTAAAAGAGACAGACTCCATGAGTTGAGTACATGTTTCCACCCGGAGGAGAATAATAACTGTCGATTGTTGTTGCCTCTGCTAAAGCTTGCATCTCACTGGGCTGTGGCTGCTGGTGACTAAAACACAATAATAAGCTGTGATTTTCTACAACCAAAATAAATAAAAAAATTGATCAACGTAAAATGTGACTGTACGGCTCTGTGGTCACAAAAAATAGTTTTTTTTCCTCGCAATGTAGCCTTGAAAAGTTGTAACCCAGTGAGATGTCACCTTACGGAGACATGAACCCGTCTTTAAAGGGTAACTAAACCCAAAATCAACATTTTCTCTGCAGAAAAACTGTCTAGATTGTGCCTCAAAGGTTTTTTTTAATTTCTGTGCAAATGTTGACATTTTAGTGTAAATTTGTTTAATTCTCTCTAAACCTGTCTTAGTGCTGCCCTCTATGGGTTGAACAGTGGCTACTGCAGTTGAATTTTCCTCTTGGTTAAAATGATAGTTTGGTACATGTTGTCATCACAGCTCCTGTTCAGGTATAAAAGCCTCTCACTCACAGACGTGTCCCGGCAGAGAGGCAGGCATTGAAACAGCGAGCACTGCGATGACAGTTTGTTACTGCTTTGAACATTAGCCCATGTTAGCAATATCGCTGCTAACGTCACTTTAACACTCAGAAACAGGGCCCAGTCTGTCCTCCAGTGCCCCGGCAGCACCAGTTCCTCTCACATGTAAGTGTTCAGAAATGAAGCAGGCAGGAGGAGGAGAGCCGCGGAGCAGAATAAAGCTGTGCTTGAAGAGCAGCACGACACACGGACATTCGCCTTGTGTCACAAAACAAACTGACTCAACTTGCTTTAAGGATCTTCTTTGTCGTTCAAGTTTTTTAAACTAACCACAAAGTTGCCGTGTCGCATCGTCTTTAATAATTCCTCTGTAACAAATCTGTTGATGTTTAATCTGACGATTCATGAAGCTGAAGCCTCCCATTCAGGACATATCTAAAGTAGTTTTTCACTACCTTGAGAATCTTTAATCTGCTCTAAAATACTTCGATACGTCAAATCTGTACTGGATTAGTCTACACTTACAGCAGAATATGGATAACCAAGTTTGTGATTTGTGAAACATTTTATGCATCTGGACCATGTAGACCAGTTTTCAGAAATACTAGCTTGTCAAATTAAGCTTCCTGGCCTGACCACACCTCCTCACTTTTAGTCTCGCCCCTCCTTTTCTCTTGGCACCGATCGCTTTGGTGGGATTCTTCAAATTTGCCTGGGGGCGGGGTTATGCTTTCACAGAGGGGTTTAGTTACACTTTAAAATAAACTATGGGAACAGAGTTGCAGACAGTACAGAAACTTTTTTTCTGTCCTCAGAAGAAGACAAGACAGACTCCTCTTTGCTTTGTCAATGAGACGAAGAAGAACAGGCAAAGGGGAGGAGCATATCGATGTGTAGTGATGGGTAACCACGCACTCAGGAGGAGCTTTGCATTTGTCACGTTGTATGTCACTATCAGCCCTTATACATCATCTCAACTCAGCAGACTGCAGCCCATTGATTGGCCAGAGAGTGACGTCAATCACGAGAGCGCCTCCCTCACAAGGATCAAACAGACCTTTTAAAAACCTCACAACTGCAGCATTCATGTTGTCATTTACTTTTTAAAAATACAACCATTAAAGTAACAACACTGTGGTACTGTGAGGTTTCAGTGGTTTATGGCAGATAACTGAAATCTGATGGAGCCAAGCTGATGAGAAAACCTCTGCTGGAGAAATGATGAGTAACAAAGTCAGTTCATCTAATATCCCAGTTAATACCAAACTAAACCACACCTACAGCTTCCAAACACGCTGTGCTAAATGCACCGCGAGGTTCCTCAACAACGCCCCTGGATGCACATCCACCTTAGACTTTAAATGTAGACCTGACACTCCTGACGTTCAAAATGCGTTAAGTCTGAACGTAGCATTAGACTTTTTTTTTAGAAATACAGCAGGTAAAATAAGTATTGAACACGTCACCATTTTTCTCAGTAAATATATTACTAGAGGTGCTAATGTCATGAAATTTTCACCAGATGTCGGTAACAACCCAAGTGAT